TGGTCGTTCCATCTTTGCAAGCCTGTCGAGCTTGGTTATGTCACCAGTGCTAGAAAGCATAAATTGTACACGTCCATCAGAGTTGGAGATTTAACTACGGCACTTGTCTGTACAATATAACGCCATGGAGGAGGCAAGTTGGTTCACAGCATTATTCCAAACCTTTTTACAGATCTCGCGCTTTTTCGTTCTTTTGGCGCTCACCTGGAAAATTGCTAGTTAAACTTTTCATTGACATTCTAAGCAGCGGTGTTAGGGTGTTTTTTTTAAGTATTTTTATTAGCCGTACGTTCTCTGGGACGTCAAAGACTGAAGTACCGCCTAATGGCGTTTGCCATGAAAAGGGTCTTTAATGCAGTGGGCAATTGTTGCAGGTGATACTACAAATGCGCCGGCCAACCGCCTTTACAGCGTAAATTGCAGCCCGGACTTTTTTCAGTAGTATTTTGCTTCCGAGTTGCTGCTTCCTGCACCTCGAGTGAAGCTTCTCGATTACTGTAAACAGCCCATTCCCGTACGTTGCTGCTCCTTCGCGGAAGTCTGGTACAGGGGACGTACCAATAATATTTTGTTCTTTGTCCCGTCGCAAAGGACATCCCTCCTCGGTATCGACTCAATCAAGGCTTTGAACCTTCACATTAAAGTGTCGTCCTTGCGTTTCTTCGAGACTTCAAATATGCCAGTGACAATCAAAACTAGTCAGCTCCCCCTCTCACGCTAATATTTGCCAAGGAACTGTCTTCCGAAGACTTTGCCCGCCGAGTTCTGCCGCCTTTTCAACTCAGGCCTTCGGGCTTGCCAAATATTAGGTCCATCGGGTCAACATCTGACTCACAATGCCTCCTGTGGCTGTCAAGCTACGGCGTCTCCCACTGACACTTCGACCTCAAATTTCGGAAGAACTCTGTTGGTTGGGAGAGCTGGACGCCATTGAACGCGTCAATGCCCCCGAAAGGGTGTCCGTCATTGTCGTCGTGACAAAGAAGGACGGCAGAATTTGACTCCGCCTTGACCTTCGTGAGTCTAAGAAATCTGTTTCCATGGACAACTTCTCTTTTCCTCACATAAAAGTACTCCTGAACAGTCTTGTCCGCGCCACCCACATCTCTAAGTTAGATGTTGAGTCCGCCTAGCACCACGTGTTGCTGCAACCCGACAGCCGAAACTTGACCATTTCGTGACTCACGATGAACTATTTGGTTCAAGCGGGTGTGCTTTGGCTTGGCGTCGGACCCTGCAGCCTTGCAGCAGTGTGTTGTAGATTCTTCAAGGGTCCGTCGGCCTTCTCTTCTACATTGACGATATCACTGAGTTCGGCAAAAACAACAGGAGCACCTGGAGAACCTGGCCGCTGTTCTCCGCCTCATCATGGCAGCTAGACTTCGGATGAATGAGAAACGTACCTTCTGAGCTCATGAATTGTCGTTCCTGGAAAACAAGGTCACCACGCAAGGCATCTTGCCACTGTCCGAAAAGTGAACTTCATTGTGAACACCCCTGCGCCCACTCACGCGGAGCCTCCGTTCGTTTCTCGGCCTAGTCGAGTGCTACTCGAATATCGCTCATGGCCTTGCTGACGCCATCGCGCTTCGCCAGTAGAGAGTGTTACCACGGGCCCACCCAGACATTGGGTTTGCCGAGACATCTGAGGCGTCTGTCAGGATTGGACCTCGAGATGCCCACGACGATAGAGGGAGGCCGCTACTCCTGTTAATTCGAAGGAGAACATCTCGAGGTTGTGGAGCATCCTGCCTTCCAAATCCATCATGTTAGAAATAACTGGCACCACCTGAGACCTGAAGAAAGACAGGGTCCGAGGATTCTCAGGACAAAACAACGCACGCCTTACGAAGGAGTGGAAAGAGGCGTCCGAGAGCAAACTTGATGGGGGGGGGCGGGGGGGGGTTGGGGGGGGGGGGGGGGGGAGACAAGCTACAGTAGATACAAAATGGACTTTATAGGAGCCCAATCAACCACTGCAGCTCTATCAAACAAGCAGAAAGCCTCCTTATATTGGTTTAGGGATCGCCCTCCCTTACCCCCCCTCCCCCCCCCCCCCCCCCCCCCCCTGATATCGCATATTTCCATACCGTGACCTCCTGAAAAATCGATGAACAAAAATGGCTAATTTAGAAAACCCTGTTTGCGCCAAGTCCATGTGCTGTTCCCGTAATGAGATGTGCATTCCTTGTGAAGTATTTGGGAAAATTCCACATGAAGAAAAAAGGAAATTGCTTCACATTTAATTCGATGGGAAAGGCGAGATAAATAGACGAAAGACAAGCGGCTGAAATACGTCGAAACATAAAGCGCTTAAAAACCCTTTGAACTTAATAAATGTGAACGAAGAAACACCCTTTGCAGATTACATAAGTGGCGCTAGATTCAGGGTGCACAGAACGTGGATACGCGAGCTTAAAAAAGGACGCAGGACCCCCAATCTGCAGTGTACGATTTTCGAAAAGTTACGTATCAGCTTGACTTTATTCGCATCCTAAATCCTAACAAAAAAACTATTTTTCTATTTCTTATAAATGCACATAGGACACTAATAAGGCGCATCAAAATCATAATTAAAACCAAGTTTTGAAGAACCTCCATAAAAGGTTTGCTTTAGTAGATCCACAGCCACAAACTTTACGAAGACAATTGCTCCCTCAAATAGTATATCTAAAATTATGCAAAATCGCTGGTGTCGCTACGCTGATTGTAGACGAAATGCGTTAGATTTATCAAAGGGTTTGTTGTTTTCAGAGAGGCAGTCTGGCCCTCCCGGATGTCGGCGATTTTGGGTGCAGACACAACAGGTTTCATACGCGTGTGCGTCAACAATGGTGTGTTATGGGAAGCGTGCTAGAAAAATCGTCCCCTCTTGTGAGAAGAAAAGTGAACGTAACGAGGTAACGCACAGAGCGGAAGAGCACGGCGGGAACCGCTCTGCGGAATCGCAAAAGCAGTCCACGGTCCAGTCCACTCCAAACCAAACCATACCTGTAATTGCTGCACGCACCAAGACAATAAATGTAAAGGCATTTCAAAATGAGTTTAGGCGTTGCCTCGAATATATAATTGCCATTAACAGAGATGCTCATCTGATATATGTTTCGTTTATCTTTGTGCAAAATAATGCCAAATCAAAAGTGGGATATGAAAAAAAAAAAAATCTGCCCGTTTGTTTTTATACAGGATTCTAAAAAAAAAAAAGAAATGTATAAATAAAGATTTGTGTCCTCTTGTTCACATAAATATAGTTGCTTCGGCAGTCAATATCAATAAAATGGACGCTAAAGCTTCGTGTAATAAATTGACGTGACTTTAAACATACCTTTGAGTCAGCTTAAATCTACACCATAGAAACACTGCCACGAGCATCATGCTCCATATTTCTGTTTACCCCATCTACCTCCATGCTCCAAGCTTTTCTAAGAAAGTTGGGCATGCGTGCTTAGTCTTTTAGGAAGTCTGTATTTAAGGAGCGTGACTACAATCCATAGAGTTACCTTTCCTTTTGAATTCTTGATCCGATCCTTTGCTAAAAGTTTCATCTTTCCGAACGATGAAGCCTTCGAGCTGAAATTTGAGAGCAAACACTCTCGGAACCATCCGAGCATTGAAAGAGCTCAGTTGAAGTCCACACCACCACTATAACACGCACAATGTTCAACGAATTTACACTCAAACACAGGTCCCAGTTTTACCGCTAACTAACGCAAATCTTTCCGAAAGCTCTAATTCAATAAGCCGATAAACCGGTTCGTACTTTTTCCCCTTGCGAGTTGAACTCAGACACACTTTCCGAAAACGCGGTCAACGAGTCGCAGCAATGAAACGACGGCAAACACGGAAGGAGTCTAACGCAAGAGGCCCATCGACGTAATGCAGCCGTATACTCTCCCCATACCGGCAGATGGTGTCTGCCGCATCGCTATCGTCCGGACCCGCCCGCATAAATTCCATAAATCTCCTGTCGTCCCGCGGATAAACTGCATTCCCTCGCCCTCGTTATTGTCCCTGGAGGCCGCTGTGACCACACCATGAATACTGCATGCAGCGCAGTGCGACGTTTTTTTGGAGGGCCTCGGATAACAAGCACACATTGCCAATTGGAACGGGCGTAGGCTTTAGCGATAGGGACGTGAGTAATTCTGAGCGGTCGATGGCTTATCGCGCGCGCCCATCGCGACTGGGTTGTAACGAAGTACAAGTGTCGTACCGTTAGCTCGATGGGCAGCGTCGGGTTGGGCTCTCGACACAGCGTTTGTCCGCGGTTTTCAAAACACGAAGGTTTCTATACAGTCTTTTTTTTTAAATTCGGGTAACTCAAAAAACCGCCTCAGTGATTTTTTAGCTGCCCAAAACTAAACACGTTAACGGAATACTCAGTCTTAATTTTTACGGAATGCTACTTATTGTCGCTTTATTCAAAAGAGCAATTGAAAAATAAGGCAAAAAAAATGTAATGTCAATACCGACGTTCGAATTTTCCCCCGTTCGCCGTTGGATCACATGTCTATAACTAGCAAATAACCCAGGCAATAAAAAAAAAACTATCGTTTTTTTGTTGTTTCAGTTTAAGCCGCATTATTTTTACCTCTTCGTGCTATTTGTAATTAGCACGTTTTTAGAGTTAACAGCAGAGCCTTTGAGCCTCTCAGACCAAATCCTGTCCTTTCGACTCCTCGTTGCGTGCGCTCTTTCTAACACCACCGCTTTCTGCTCCTCTCTTTCTTGCCCTTTCCACCCCTCTCCTCTCCACATGCTTTCTCACACCACCTGCTTCTGCTCCACCCGTTCCTGCGTGCTGGCTCCGTAGCTAAGTTAGCAGTACACCCGGCTAACTTTATCAACTTCGCGAATAAAAGCATTGTGTCTTGTACTTTAGGTTACTAGTTTTGGTTAGGTTAAGTTAGGTCAGGTCAAGCAAATCAGTGAGTATTAATATTTCGCGGGAGCTCCATTTCAAAGCATCTACCGGACGTGCCGCGTTGATGTCCACTCACCCAGAACCCTGACAGATACGCTGTTTTGGGCGGACAATCCGTCCTTGTTCCTGGCCGTGCACGAGTAGAGGCCCTCGTCCGTTGCCCTCTCCACGTCTTGCACCAGGAGGGTCCCGTTGGGGAAAGCCTTCTGCCGGTGGTTGTATGGGAGCCGCAGACCCTCTGTGTCAGCCAGTACACGAAAAAAATCGAGAAAACCATTTTAATGAAACCCGAAAAACACTACATTTCCCAGCTAAATTGATAGGGGAATTTGACGTCACATGATTTAATGTTCACGTGAACTATATACCAATATATTTGCCGCGCGAATTTCAGCGGATAAATTAAAGAAATGGGTTCTTCATTACCGGAATGGCTGTTTAATGTCTTCTATGAGCATTGAACGATCGTTCCTTAAATAATACAATAGTATGCTTTACGCCGGGTTTTCCAAATGCCCAAGGTCCTTACAATCGACCGCAAAATTCGGTTTCTTAACCTATCGCGGTACGATTTTGAGCAGCGCTGCCCACAGATGGTGCTTTTTTTTTCTGTAAACTTTGCAAAGAGCGAACTTAACTGAGGAAAATTAAAGAAAGAGAAAGGCCTAACTCCTATGGAAACGCCTCGAAGCCACCGGTCTTCAAAACGTACGGCGCCGTTTCGCACGGGAGACAAGAGATGGCGCAAGCGGTAGCGGCGCCAACTGCCGCCAACGAACGAGCATACGGCGCCGAGAGCCGGATTCATTACCAGACGATTTGTTTTTACTCAAGAGCGGCGCGAACATTTTTGATATCTGTTGCCAATGTTTTCTTTTATCATCTTTATTAATAAAACACATTGAATGCATATATAATCGATTAAAAATTGTTCTTCGGGTTATTTTGACTGGTCTCATTTTGCGGTACTTATGTCGTCTGCTTTGCAGACCCTTGGTACCGCGCCTGCTTTTGGTTCTTCGACTGCCGCCGCTTGCGGAACGCGCGCCGCTTTTGAGTCGAACCGATCATCTGCTAATAAGGATTTGTAGCAGATCGTTCTTCTCCGCGGCAATATCCGTAAAAAAAAAAAAAAAAAAAAAAAGCCCCAGCTACGCATGCACGCTGCCAGCCTTGCCTGCATAGTTGAAATCTTGAGGCGGATTACTCAGCGCTATTCGGGTGCTTAGCGGGCTGCGGAAACGGTTTACTACAACTCCTTTATGACGCCGGCTCTCGCCGCCGTCTGCTCGTTCGTTGGCGGCAGTTGGCGTCGCGACCGCTTGCGCCGTTTCTTGTCTCCCTTGCGAAACGGCGCCGCATCGTTTGAAGACTGGTGGCTTCGCTGAGTTTCTATAGGAGCTAAGCCTTTTTCTTTCTTTAATTTTCCCTCAAATAAATTAGCTCTTTGCAAATCTAAAAAAAAAAAAAATGCACCATCGTTGGGCAATGCTGCACATAATCGCAGCGCGATAGATTAAGAAACCGAATTTCGCAGTCGATTTAAAGAGCCTAACAACTATTTAGGACACTCGGTAGTACCTTAGAAGTGAAGGTCGCTGTCAATTCGTTTTTGTCTACTACCTGATTACACGATGTAAGAGATGCCAAAGGAACTTAACTAATTAAAAAAATGGCAATATATATATATATATCAGTTAGGTCCACTTGCGGCGCGGCAGAGATTGAAGGGTGACAGTGCATTCCCGTTTTCTGGAAAAAGTCCAGAAGGGAACGGTAATGCGGCCATGTGCCCAACGTTGAAAGTCTGGCGGCCGGTTAGGATGAAGGCACAACCGGCTGAGACTGCGCCGACGGCTAGCTTGAAGGTCCGTGAACCTCCAAAGGAGGAGCTTCAGATCCACCTCCCGGATTGGGTGGGACAAAAGGGGCAGCAGGCAGATGTCGTGGTATGACGCGTTCTGGCATGGACAAACGGTGTGATGATCGACGCATTCACATAAACTTTTCAAAGCGAGACCTCTTCTAGGAGGTTTGATTTTCTACGATAATATCTCAGGTGATCTCGAGAATGATTGGCTTGAACCGACGTCGCATCGCCGGCTATTGTGGTGACTTTATTTCTCAGCAAGTACCCTCTGCGGCATACATTTAAAAAAACCTTTATGCATATCTCGGTTATATAGACACTTCCGTCCCCCCCCCCCCCCTCCCCCGGCCATCCCCAATCTCACCCACAATGCGAGTAGGCCAGAACACCAAGACAAAATTGATAGTATTTAAACATTTTTATCCAAAGAATATTATTGTAATATAGCGGTGCATCCACATCATAGTCAATGACAGCTGAGGAAACAAAGGTGCTGCTTTAAATTTGGGTTTGGATATAAGTTGGCAACCCCACAGTTGCCACATAAAAACTGAACAAAATTCGCATTAGAAATCCGGAACGACCGCTATAAATCTATATATTTCAGGCCCAGAGCATGAATGACTTTGAAACCCAATGTACTCCTATAATTAGTCTAAAACAGGACAATAAATAAAGTAACGCTTAGAAGGGAGCTATGTAGTTTTGCTCAGATTGCTTCCATGCACTCAACGATGCCGGCTGCATAACCTCACTGTTACCAGGTGTTACCTAGTCTGTTTTTTGCAATACCTGCCGACGGACACCTTTATTCTTCAGACCCTTTGTGCGATATCTGGTATCAGATTAAATATTTTATTACCCAATCCACATAATTTGATAAAACCTCTCTCTTTCCAGTAGCGGTATCTGACGAATTGTGACGTCGCTTGGAGCTTCCAGCAACCAGCGTCAGAGTTTAAATTCCTATAGCCCCGTGTGTTTTCGAAATTCTTGCGCATATTTCACTTCGCCCATTTCACCTGGCAGACACATAAAACGCGTTTATACGTTCACGTACAAATCAAATAAGAGCACGCTTCAATGCTTTTCACTGTAACACATCAACGGCGTCGCAGACGTTACTCTGACTGACAACGCTTTTGTTGGGGAAATGCAAAAATGACGACCCCTTGACGCTAACTTACCACAGACATAGAACCATGTTCTAATATTAAAAATATATTTGAGAGCACTCTGGGTCCGCAGAAAAAAGAAGTGGCAGTCCCGTTGCAGAGCGAGAAGGTGACGCTGCTGCGCGACGGCAACAGCGCCATCTACCCGCTGGCACTGCTAACGTGACTTGAAAACCGCTACAAATCCAGCCTCATGCAAAACGCCTATTTCTCCCGCACGATAACTGAGAAAACACGCTACAGTTAGCGAGAAAACCGTTAGATTTGCCACGCTGGTTGACGCCTTACGGAAAGTGATTCGTACTCAAGCGATCTAATCGGCTGATGTCGCAACCTAATTGGCTGGGAGCAACAATGAGCTACTCGGGAGCTGCCACACCCTGCAATTTTTTGTCAGTAACGACAGTATCTCATTCAGAGTTAAGATTTATTCGTGCAGTTTATAATTTCTAATCCGTAAGTACAAACCTCAGCTAATGTCGTTCATGAAAAGATAGGAACATCCTTACATACCTAAGCGAGTAGCACCCATAAAGCGAGTAATTGAAACTCCTGCTCCAGGGCTTCAGAAATGATGATGCAATTTATCTTCTGCCTTCAATACAGCTTACCCGCTTAACGAGCCTTTTAAAAACATTCTCGAGCTTCTTCAAAACCCTCCAGATGAAAGCCACAAAAGCGGTAAATTTGGAGAGCCCGTCTCGTCTGGAGTCGCAAGGTTATTTGCGATCGGAATTAAATTATCTCCGGAGAACTTCAATCTCATCGGAGAGGTTTAATAAAGCTCGGATGGCATATCTCGGCACACGAGAAAGCGAGACTACAGGAGTGGCCTAAACCCAGCCGTGAACGAAAGCCAGACTCGCGTGTCGCGTTGCGTATAAACTCGAGCTTTATAAACCGCATATCTTCCAGCCAGATGAACGGTTATTTAAAAAAAACTAAAAGTCCGATCCTTTGTTTCCCACAGTACCATGCGGAATTGCGGCGAAACCTTCCACGTTTTTCTGGAAAAGTCCATTTAGAAACCGCATACTACACACGTTAGAATTTGTTTTTTCTTTAGCAGAATCTTTGAGGTTGCAATTTCGGTCTCGCTACACAAACCAAACGCGGAATAGACTGCGTAATAAAGCTACCACAAAACAGAACGCGTAGAGCCAATTTGCAGCAGCGAGTTGCGCGCCTGGTGCGACAAGATAACACCAACGATGTTACTGCTTTCTCCTGGGAAAACCTCTTGAGCGAGTCACCTGGTAAAACCGTGATAGGATAGCTCGCGCACCGCTAAGAAGAAAAGACAAGCAACAATGTACGATAAATGAAAACACAAATTGCGAGCGGTAACTTAAATATGAACAACAAAATGTGAGCGGAAACTCAAATAACAACAACGAGGAAACGGAAGTTGGTTTAGTAGCTCGACGAACCCGTTTGCTCAAGGCTTCGAAGCGAAGAAATAATGCGCGGATTAGAAAAAAAAATAAAAAGAAAAGACCTTTAAAAAGGGTTTCGGTGAATTAGAGTGCGTGCCCCGTTGACGCTCCATAGTCAAACACGCGAGACATCGCGGCTTCGTTAGTCGGGACAAAGAAGCAGGCGTACACGCTCTCCGTTTAATTATGATCCGACCTTGTTCCAGTGTTTTTCAAGGATAGAAACGACATAAAAAATCAGACCACGTTTGTTAGTTAACTTTGAAATCTGATAAATCATTGCTTTTTTGCAACAAGCTGGCCTCTACATTATAATATTTCAACCATCGTGAAAAACCTTTGCAAGTAGCAGAGCTGGGTTTTGTAAAAGTCAAACTTTTCCGAATGTTCTGATTTGGGCTGGAAACTTTTCTCGGTATATTGACACGGTACATTGCACATTATTTCTAAACAAACCAACTACATATTGAAGTGTAAAACAAAGTAAATAAACGCATATTCGTTGCTTAAGCACCAATTTCGAATTGTTGGCTCCGCGTGCGTCTACTCTATAACAAGAACACATTAGAAAACGTTAAATAATATGTTTGGCTTTGTTGCAACTTATTTGTTTTGCTTCAAGTACGAAATAGTACGTTATTTTTACTTATATCAACCACAATTTTCTTTCTACGTTACAGGCTATCAGGATCTCTATAAGAAAAGTAAGATTTAGGTTGAGACCCTATGGGCTCGAATTTAATGAAACGCGATTTTTCTAAAGTATCATCACATCACTTTCATGCAAGTATTATATTCGTAGTTTTAACACTAAAAAAAAGTGACTATAGAAGTTCTAAAAAATATATAATAAAGATTTTTTTTCTTTTTTTTTTTGCGGTTTATATATTGTTTTTTATTTTACATCTACTTTACCTTTTCTAAGCACTCGGTGAGCCGATTACACCAAAAAGTTGGAGGAACTTAGCGTTAGGCAAAATAAAATTATACTGTAAACAATCATCTAATTTATTTTTGTGGTTATATTATGTCTAATGTATCAAAAAATATTTTATTGCGCAGTTCTAATAGCTTCAATTTACCATTACTATTCGTAAAGTTTATCACTCAGAGTGAGTGATAACTTTGTCCTAAATAAGAAAGTGTGCCGGAAAGGAATGTTTCATGGGTAAAAAGGGCCTTTATTACTTTGTCGAGTAAATCGCAACTCATATTGATTTTTGTTAATATTCATGAATACCTACCGGGAGCATTACGTCGGGGTCAGAACACAAAATTCTGTCATATACTACGAGCTCAAATCAAAAATATTATAATTACAATAATGTAGTATATGGACGCTTGGTACTTCCGAATTCGTGATTATTCCTTTTTATCGAATCCAAACAGCATAGAGGGCGTCAATTTTTAGTGAGGCGACCACTCCGCCGGTTGACCCTCAGAAGTGTGACAGACAACCAATGGACCAGACGGCGTCAATTTTCAAGGAAAGCCGTAATATGTTTGACCTAGCTTCTTGGCGCACAAGTAACCAAACGAGTAATTGAAAGAAAATAGGAAGATCTTACCTCTTTCCCAGGTGATGGAGTCGATAGGATGTCCTCCGACGGGACAGGTGATGCTCAGCACCTCTCCCGCCACCACGGACAGGTTGCCCATGCGCCGCACGAAGGGCGGGCCGTGAATGTTGACCCGGGCGGCGTGCTCGGAGACGCCGACGTCATTTCCGGCGCTGCACCGGTACAGACCGCCATCTTCGGCCCTCACCGCCGAGATGTTGACGAAGCTCACGACGCTCCCGTCACTCGTGACGTAGTCACCCATTCGGAAGCGACCGTTTTCCGGAACCGGAAGTCCGTCCAGCGACCACGTGACCTGAGGGAGCGGCCTCCCCGCAGCGATGCACTTGAGCGAAATGGAAGGACCGGGGGAGAGCGTGCGTTCCGTGAAGGTTTCTCGGAGGATCGGAGGATCGTCTGTAAAGTGATGCAAATAGGTCGAAGAACATTCACTACTGGGAAATATTTTGTGTCTTACAGAAGTATGCACTCTCTTTCTATCCCTCTCTTAGTTTTTAGCTTCTTACTCTCGTGCTCCGAGGAACCGTCAAGCTGAAACCTTGCTGTATTTCTGTGGCGAAATAAAATGATATAGTTTCTTTTGAAATCAGACTTTCCTGGGCAATAGTGCTGCCTCGTATTCGGTCCGGGCTCGTGTTCTTAAGAATAGACCACGAGTTTCTATTTAATGTTTAGACAAAAGCTAATGAAAGCTGTCTGGGCAGTGGCACTGAGCGTTTGTGCAGGCCGTGCGCTGGTGTACATCCAACGTCCTTTGTTTCACAGCCAGCGGCGTCGACTCGGCATGTCGTCAGGAGCCGTAACGTCGGAAGGTTTTTGCGTACCGGCCAGCGAGAGTTCAGCGGCCGCTTGTGCCGACTCCTCCTCGTTGTAGGCGTAGCACTGGTAGACACCCCGGTCCTCTCGCCGCACCGACGGGATGGTGACGCTGTACGGCGAGTGGCTGGAGCCCCTCGACAGCGGCTTCTGGTTGTGGTACCACTCCACGCTGGTGACCGGATGGCCCGTCACGCTGCAGTTGAAGCTTGCGGGCCTCCCCACGTCCGCCTTCTGGTTCCGAGGGTGAATGGTCACTGACAGCGACGCTGCATACGGGAAAACAAAAAAGTATAAATAAATAATCAGCGAGACCTATACATATTTACGCCGCTAATCAACCAGCTCAAAGATGGAGAGTCAATGGGCCGGGAACCCATGCGCTTTCACAGAGGAGAGCATTACACACGCTCAGAAGTTCTTTCGTAGCCCAGTAAACAAAGCTGCAGCAAGAAGAAGATATGATGAGATTGGTCTACATGTATACGACGTTGCCACAGCCCCCCTTAAAAATAAAACAAAAACATATTTTGACCAAAAATAATTAATGGAGAAATCTCCAAACAAATCTAGGTGATTGGTGCACGACCTAATAAATTCGCCTGGTCCGGGTATCCATCCCGGGACCGTTTCCAGGGGAGCGCTCTACCAACTGAGCTAACCAGGGCTTAGACGTCAGTAGAGCAAACAGGTTTTATCAGCTGCCACCAGTGTAACACCAGCAAGGGTGAAGCTCTCATCTTAAGGTTATGATTACAATGCAATTAAATTCACAGGTGCAACCGAGCTGGACAAGAATGACGAAAATAATCTCTTGAGAAGGGGAACAAGAGGGACAAAGAACAAGCACAAATCTCCAAACACAGCTAGGTGTCTGGTGTGCGACCGAAAAATATCTGCCTGATTCGGGTATCGAACCCGGGACCCCTCCATTTCCAGTGGAGCGCTCTACCAACTGAGATCTACCAATCTCCAAGGATTATTTTCGTCATTCGTGTCCAGCTCGCTTGCACCTTTGCATTTAATTGCATCATAATCATTAAAAAAAATTTTTTTATATGACAAAAAACGAGAAATAACTGAACGCTCATCCTCCTCCAAATTGTAGCGCTAAGGGCCCGAAGCAGATACCAAACTGTCAAAACGAATCGTTATTTTATTCAAAAGACACGATGCACTCTTTGAAAGCTTCAACGCATAACTGGGACCTTTTCTTGGTTACTGGCGCCGCTCAGCGCCCTGCATTCGAGGGCTCCCCGCCGCTACTTTCCCATTGAAAATTTTAGAATATCACTTCTAACTTTTCAAGTAGATAACGGATAGTTTTGAAACTTTGACATCTGCTTCGGACTGCTGGCGTTACATTTGGGTGGCAAATGACTCGGCAATGCAAAACTTACTTTTGCGGTAAAAAAAAAGAAAAAAAGAAAAAGGCCCTGCAAATTATTTCGAGGTGACAATCTATTGGCGAAGTGCGTGACCGAAAGCGTCGCTGTGGTCGGCCTTCCACGATTGTCCGAACGCTGACTAAGACGTCAGAAAAGGATTTATCATCGACGGAAATAAGAGGAATGAAAGAACTTTAATTTTGACGGTGTTGGCAGTGTTGCTTTGAGAGCGCAATAATTTCAAGTGTCCACCATGCTATTTACAAACACCATCGAACTTGTTGTTTGTAAGGTAATGACGTCACAAGGGGGAACCATAGGAGGCGCCACCAAAAGATCTCGCCGCTAATACTTCGTTTCATCTTAAAGGGGCACTGACACCCCAAAGGTCGAATTCCTTGATGTTGTCTTAAACGATGCAAATTGTAGTCATAGATACGCAAATATGCATCACAACGCGACAACAGCTGTCCAAACGCGCGCGCGCGCGCGCGCGTATTTTTAATTTTGGCATTTTTCTCTTCCTCTTTTCTCCTCCTCGCTTCGTTTCATTTGTGACGTAATCCGCTATAAAATTTAGTAGCTTTTTAAGCGACGATCTTATTATGTTTAATAACGGCATTCGTAAGACTTTTTTTTTAATGCAACTGCGAAGGCACTACGTCCTTCTTTTTGAAATACCGAAAATCGGAGTCCTGAGAGACCTGGCTTTTTATCCTCTCTCGGAAAACATGCGGGCGCTCGGTATATGTAGCGCTGTGGATGATCGGGGAGTCGGGGAGTCGGGGAGTCGGACGAAGTTCTTTTTCCTAGGTGCTCGATGACTTCTAAGACTTCGATAAAGAAACCGTCAACCGGTCAAAACAACTGGCTTTGCTCTCTGAGCCGCCGTTTCGGTGGTGACACCGCCGGGGCAGGCTTTCAGGCAGAACCGGCGCGACGTAGCCCCTCACGTCGCTCATAAAAGTCCACTGCACGTCCACTTCGACCTCACACCGTTTAACAGAATTTTCGACATCTGAAAGAACTTCAAAATCGAAAGTGAAGCGTAGTCTCCCTTAGAAAAACGGGTCTCAACATTCTTTTTAATTTTGTTTAGGCTTCTTATTGACTTTCCGCGATCCTACTGAATTCCTTTATAAACGCACTTCCTTTTGACTATTGTCAAAAAACTTTCAAAAGAAAAAAAATAGATTTTTTGTAGACTTATTTATAAAAAAATTAAAAAGAACTTGTAAAGACGTTTTTCTGTAGGTTATTTTCTAAAAAAATTCAAAAGGAAAAAACATTAGATTTTGTTTTGTAGACTTATTTATAAAAAAATTAAAAAGGAAGTTGTAATGACGTTTTTTGTAGGTTATTTTCTAAAAAAAAAAAAAGAAAACTTAGTGACATTATTTCTTTATATTATTTTATCAATCAATCAATGTTTATTTTTCTCTTGTGCTAACCAACAGCTCGAAAGACTACTGGGTTAAGCACACACAATTGAGATACACACAAAATACAAAGTAGACATAATAAAAAGAGACATTTTTTTAATATTTTATTTGGTCTGCGGCCGTGTGCGGTGTCCAATATGACGGATGTTTTTTTTTATTTTTTACTTTTTATTGAAAATATGTTGACTTCTTGTTCACTCTGATTACTTTCTTTTAACTGAATTCCTGTTGACATGGTCAACAGAAAGTTTGTTGATTTTGTGTTGAAACTTTTTTTATGATTTTCTTCTGCCTGGAGTCAATGAAAAGCTATTGACTTTCTATTAACTCTATATTGGATCTTTTTCTGTTGACTTCCTGTTGAAAGTGTTATCAGAAATACTGGAGACGTTCTGTTTACTTCGTGTTTAAATTATTCAGTTGACTTTCTGTATCCAGTGTCAAAAGAAAAGCTACAGACTTTCTGTTGAATTTTCATTGAACATACTACATCTTGACTAAATGTCAAAAGTCACTACGTTTCTCAATAGTCTCTGACAAGTTGAGAACCGTAGGGAGGAGCTTCCGTTCTCCTGCCTCCAGCGCGAGCCTTCTATCCTTGACAACTCTTCGACGTCTCGCGCCCCTCGAGCTCCACTGCGTAGTCAAAGCACGACGGAAGGCAAGGGGCGCGTGCTGGGGGCCAGGCGTTCGAAAAACACGCCCAGCCGTTCTCACTTTGTAAATGACTATCGTGGCATTATTGACCCTATTCAACTAGTAAAGAAGAGCAAAATAACTATTTTAAAGTGGAGCAACCGCCTTGACTGGCTTCGTCCTGAGTGGTGCTATGCAGAGAAGCGATAACATTTGTTTTATGAGCCGTTTTTGTGGAGGTTGTTTTAGCGACTTCACGAAATTATTATTAGTTGTACCAATGCTTTTTGTAAGAGATAGAGTCCACGAACTTCAAAACACTCTCTTCCCTTTGACAGACTTTCGAGAAGGAGACCGGAGACTTTGAAACTTAGTAAGTGCTGAGGTGGTCACCGGCCAAATCATTACCTTCAATATGTAGGCTATATAAGGCTCTGGTGCTGTCAACAGGACTGTGCTTCTGATGTTGAGTCATGTTGAGTCTTTGATGGTGTTTGTGTTTGTTTGCATTGCTCATTTGTGGGATGTGTATGTACCAAAGGACACTATTTTCTAACGAAATTCAAAAATATGTTGGAAAAAATGACTGTTTTTTTATCGTTAATCTGCGGTTGGTGTCAAAAGGAATTCAACAAAATTTATGTAATAAGGAATTAAAAAGAATGTATGTAAGAAGGACTTCAAAAGAATATATATAAGAAGGAATTCTAAAACATTTAAATGGCCAATTTTAACTAGGAGTTAAATAAGTTGTCAAAACAAAGTCTAAAAAACATCAAAAAAGTTTAAAACGAAATTCAATACGACTCCAGAAAAGTTTCAACAAAAATTCAAAAGAATTTAACTACAGATTTTTGTAAGGGCTGCTCACCGTCGGACAGGCGTCACGCACGGAAAAGAACGTTTGGTCGCGGACGCGGGCGAACCCATTTCGGGTCGTGACGATAGGAAGGCGTGAGAAAAACTCGACTCGTATTACGGCTCAATATTTGACGTAACCGAATTTGCGCGGATCACGCGGGAACTTCAAAATTGGCTTTTGGAACTTTTTTTTTTTTTTACTTAAAAAGTACTGTTTATTCAAGCTTTAAATTTTGAGGGTAACATCCACGTATCGTCTTCAATCGTGTTAGGTAATAAAAAAAATATTTTAATTTCGACATGTCCAGTGCACACTGCAAGAACATTATACAAAAAATGCCTGCAGCCACTTTCAAAGGCATGTTTATTTCTTGTACGACTTCGTGTCAAATTGGTCCTACAAAAAAAAATACGAGGACATTTAGTAAGCACATTTTTTGAGCTGTCAATGCGAAAGCATGAATGTTGTTCTTCCGGTTCCTTCGTTCGTGTGCAGTGTACTGGTGTGGATGGCTCCGTTTCGCTACCGCCGATGTTGCGGCCGCCGACGACATAGATGCCTCAGGCGCCGCCATGTTCCCCGGCGCCGAGAGGAGCAGAAGCGGCCGCAGACCCCCCCTCCCATTCGTCAACGCCTGACGCGAGAGCGGCGACGGAGCGCGCGCTCTCGTGAAGCGGCCGCCAATGGCTATCTAGGAGCCGTTTCGCTCAGCCAATGGGACAATCGGCATTTTTTTTCGCATGCTTTTGCGGTTACAGACGCCGCCGGTTCCGGTCCATGGGATAGTTAATGCTTTCGTGATAAATCTTCTTGCAGACATGTTTGAAGCAAGCATGCTTCAAGCGTGCTCGGGGCGTGACCGCAGAGAATTATGTAATCCTGTCTGTAGCAGACACCGTGTCTCTTGTACGATGTAAGAGCAATGGGACAGCGGCTCAAGT